GGGTTATTAGGGGGGATGCTAGGAGCTTAGACTATGGCTCATTGAGCGTTCAGGCTTTGTAGAGGGTTTAGGGTCGCGGGTCCGCGGTCCAGACTCTAGGTCTGGGGTGCTTGCGGTATCCCTGCGGTGTTGGTGCACAAATTCGCAAGAGCTATGCTTCACAGTGGGAACACTTACATATGTGTATATATGTATATACCCTGAGGCTCCCAGTTACCTAAATAGTAGGTTACGGGGCTATGTAACTATATAGAACTTCTTAGGGTATACATACACACATACATACATACATACATACATACATACATACATAGATACAGGGCGATCGCATTTCAGCACGGAATGCGCTGTGGGATGGAGGAGCACTACTTCCTTGGTGGCGTGAAGAGGAGTCTTACGCACGTCAAGGACAAAGATTACAAGGCGGCCAAGGAGGCCACGTGGCGCCAAACTTTGGTTAGGGCTTAGGGTTCCTATGGCCTCTGAGCCTAGGGTTAAGAAAACCAGGAATCCCGAAAGCTGATGGGGCGTGTTTTTTAGGGATGATGTGGAGATGATTGGGGGCTTCTTCTTCTGGATTGCGTAGTGATCATCATCTTCAGAATCCCGACAGACTCGCAAACCACTAGCCTGAATTCCGGAATTTGGCGAGAAATTGGGGTTTTAGGGCTTTGGGTTTAGGGTTTAGGGCTTTAGCGGCTAGGGTTTAGGGCATGCGATTAGAATCCTCTCCCAAATCAGCAGAGTCCGGCCCCCAAAGGTAGAATCTGTAAACGCGGGAGACACGACACATGCGGGAGACACGACAGCATAAGCAATCCTAAGGGTCCAAGGACCCAGATAATAGGGCTTTAGGACCCAAATACCATTCATGGTATAGTATTCGGGCCCTCAAACCCTATTATTTGGGTCCTTGGACCCTTGGGGAAAGTGAGCATTAGCAGCCCCGCTACCTACTTAGTAGGTTCTTGGGTTGTAGGTATTGCTGTAAATAGAGAGTAAGGCACAGTAACCAACTCTGCAGCTGACCGGGCTTCAAAGTGAAGATGTATACATCTTAGAGGAGGAGGTTTAGGGGTCTAAGTTTAGGGTGTAGGGTTTAGGCCTAAACCCTGGCTTATACCAGGAGACCCTACAGATCATATTGTTCAATTAGCTTAGGTCATGGGATGCTATACTGAGCCCCGACTCCCTTCTCAAAATCGACCCAGATGAGGCCAAAGCCCAAGCTTCAAAATCCTAAGCCTTCAACTCCAAACCCTACTATGAGCCATGATATAAACTCCTTAATCGGGGTTATATATGGGACTACTCTAGGGGATATTCAGGGGGATACTAGGATTCTAGACTATGACTCATGTTTCCTTTTTCCGTGTAAATCCTTCAAGAATCTCCACCCAAGGTCATGATTTCCACGCGAGACCCTAAACCCGAAACCCTAAACCCCTAGACCCAAGGTCATGATTTCCAAGGGAGTCAAGATGCCACATTACAGCTCTTTGACGCTGCTGTCCAACCTGACTGACAGCTGAAGAAGAGTATTTGGGGTCGTTTAGGCTTTAGGGTTTAGGCTTATATTGGGGTCATTTTGGGATAATGGAAAAGAAAATGGAAACTACACCCTAAACCCTTTAGGGTTTAGGGTTGATGGTTTAGGCTCTGGGGTGATTTCACAGCTGTTGCTCACCGCCCTGGAAAAGACGCGCAGGGTGCAGGGTTTGGGGGGGTTGGATCTTGGTGGTTCAGGGGTTTAGGGTTTTTGGGGTTTGGGGGGGGTGGGTTTTGGGGTTCAGGGGTTCAGGGTTTTGGGTTAGGTTCCCACGACGGAGTCCTTAGCAGTTTCAATGTGCAAGTTCTTTTTCCGCTGTGAGCAGTGTGTGCCTGTTGACCGGATACTACCCGGTGGGTCAATCAAACCTTGAAGAGACGGTCCGTCCCCAGCTGCGTGCATTATGAAACCCATGTCAGATTGAATAGCTTTGGTGGAGGGAATTAAGGTTTCGTGGGTGATATGGTTAAGTTTGTTTCATTCTAGTAAAGCCTGACTAGGAAACATAACATTTTCTTTTGATTAGTAGTACCCCACTGAGTACAACCAGGTATGCAACAGTCGTTTATATAACAGCTCGATATTGTTTCGTAATATGCCATGTAACATTTTATCTTTTGCTATAACTGCTGGAAACTGATAACACACTCGCGTCTCGTGATTTTCGTACCAAGGTCCCCTTGTTGCTCCCGAACGCAGATCTCAGTCTTCGGGCACCCTTGATAATGTGGGGTTTAGGGTTGAGGGTTGCGGGTTTAGGGTTTCAGGTTTAAGGTTGAGGGTTTAGGGTTTCGGGTTTAGGATTTACATTGGGGTTTTTAGGATCCCGAAACCCTATAACCTAGGAATGCTCACATGCTACTTGCAAATCTGAGCCATAGTCTAAACTCCTAGTATCCCCCTGAGTAACCCCTACAATGCACCCCCACATAATCCCGTATACAACCCCCTTGAAGGAGTTTAGATTACGGCTTAGCTAAGACCAGGCCAATCCCTGGACCGGGAGATCCTTCAAACCCTGGGCTTAGGGTTTAGGGTTTAGGGTAGCATATATGCTATACATCCCATACCACAGTCTAACCTCCGCCCAGCTAACATTGAACCTGACATAGATCTCCCACCCCCCACCCCCCGCGTTTGAAGCGCGGTGGTCTTTGCAGGGCGTGTTTCAGGCTTCATATTAGCTTGGGGAAGGACGATTTATTCCTAAACCCTTAACCTCCGGCACCTTCATTGTGTATATGTATATATGTATATATTTACATACACACATTATTCATCTATATGTGTGTACAATATTTATATATGTACACAGGTAGAATGTCATTACATGATCCGCGTGTATACCCGCATGATCTGTTCTTGGGTTGCCAACTTAGTTTATGGGATTGTATGCTCCAAATGCTAATGCCTACATATCCTAGTTTGTCTGTATATACCCTAAACCCTCAGTAAGTATATCTTATAAACCCTATAAGCCCCATAGTAACAGTTTTGGGTTTAGGGTTATCCGCATTATGAATCATAAGCCTACTTACTAAGTCCCCCTAAACCCCGAACCCTGAACCCTTAACCTTGATTGGGCTACCTGATCCTCCAAGTATGTCCTTGATGGTTTTCAGGTGAGGCTCCGTGGTCGGGGCAGTGGCCACTACGAAGAAGTTGCTGGAGGCAAAAGGGATTTAGGGTTCAGGGTTTAGGTGCTGTTCGGGATTTTAGGGTTGGGGGTTTGGGCTTTAAAATTTAGAGCTTTGGCTTTATGAGCCCGAAAGCCTAAGGCTTAGACTTAGGTCCAAAATCCTACCCTGGACCCTAAACCCGAAATTTACACCCTACAGCCCGAGACCCCAAAGAATTTTTAGCTTAGAGTGTTTAGGGCTGAAAGGTTTAGGTTTCGGATTTTGGGGTCCTACCTTCGGACTGAACGGGGCCTGGGTTCAGAGTTTGGGATTTAGGGTTTGGGGTTTATGGTGGAAGGGGCCCTACCCTAAACCCGACACCCTAAACCCTAAACCGCCGATGAACGCACCAAAGATGGAGGCCCCATACTAGGACCTCAGGGAGCATCGGGGAGGACATAGGGAGTTTCCTAGTGAAATGACTTCTAGGTCCCCCGTAGAAAGGGCTTAGGGTTCACAGTTATAGGGTTTAGGGTGCTATATGAAGTTAGGGTTTAGGGTTTATAGGGCTTAGGTTCCTTTATGAAATCTTGGAGCCGGGAATACCCCCTCCCCCAAAACTAAACCCTGCTAAAGGCGCTATATTAAGCTAGGGTATATAGAGGAATGGAAATGCAAGTTATTGGTTGCATTTTGGTAAGGCTAAAGGTCCCGGGTTAAAACCGCCCACCTCTTCCACTTGATTTTCCAAGGGCTGTATTGGCAGGATCATATCTAGCTATACCCGAAGCCTGCCCTTTTTAGGGGGTGTGGGGGTTCATTATCAGGCGAAGTTGATTATCAGTCCTCCAAGACCGGAATGGTGCGTATATTCAGGCTTTACAGGGTCACGGCTTCATTGCCGCAAGGTTTAGGGCTTTGGGGATGGTAGGTCTAGTTTAGGGTTTAGGGTTTAGGTTTGATTTCAGGACTTTTTGTTGGCAATTTGTTTTTTTTTTTGTACGGCTTGGGGCTTGGGGCTTAGTTTACATTAGCTTCTTCCATAAGAGGGTCATGTTGGCTGTATGAAAGATTTTTTAGCGGGCTCACTAGGCACTGTAGGTGTTATCTGGGCCGATCCGGTTCAGGGCTTAGGGTTTCGGATTTAGGGTGCAAACCTTAAACACTAAAACCCACAAAGGCAGTCATACGAAATTTCCGAGTAGCCCTAAACCCTACGTCATGCGGTAGCTTTGCCGACAGCCATAGTTGCCCCAGGGATCCAAACTGCTCAATGTAGCTAATATTTGCCCACTTTAGGGCCCAATGTAGGTATTATTTGCATACTTGGATCCCCACAGAACCCCTTTATAACCCTAGCCTCCATTTGATTTTCCATGTTCTTTTCCATTTCATTCTCCATTATTGGTAATGTTTGCATAGTTGGATCCCAAGGGTCATATCACATCACACAGAGCTTTCTTACGTTGCACCAAGGATCCAGTTGCCTCACAAGCTGGCTTTCCCCTTATGTATACTACAAGTGGTTTAGGGTTTAACTCCACAGTATGTTCCAAGGTATCATGTATTCAGGGTCATGCAGATTATTGGGTATCAACTGTGACCCCAAAGCTGTGCCAACTTCCGCGTTATGGGGTTTAGGGTTTAGGGATCTACAAGCTTTCTTGCTGGTTTCAGTGGTGGCGGTTGCCTGCATTGGCTGAGTCTTTTTGCACCGCTGTCCCTTTAAAAATGATGAGATATGGATTTCCATGTTAGCTGGGTGGTAAGGGTAACCTCGCAGGCGGCACACACGCCGGTTGTGAAGCCCCTGTTCCGCTGATGGTGGCCGGGGCCTGAACACACTGAACACTCTCGACTCTCGACCCATGACTGCCATAACTCAAAAAAAGGCTTTTCCAAAAATGGCCAGGTGTCCTTTTCTGAGAGTCCTTATATTATAAGTATAGTTCTAAACCCTAAACCCTAAACAGTTTTGGATCTATACAGGAGCCTTTCAGGCTTGCCAGTTAGGATGTGGAATTCAGAGTTGAGATTCCGTGGGGCGTAGATCTTCCGCTTCCCAGGAGGGTTGTAGACGCAGGCCTGGGAAGTGAGAAGTGCGTGGAACAACTGAGCTGGGTCAGTTTTGAGTCTGGTTTTCAGTTCCATGTTTAGTAAAGCCCAACGAGGAAAATGATTGGTGTTCTGTACTAGTTCAACCACCATTTTCCCCGAGGATGAAGGAGTTTTTGCCCGCGTTTCGGACTTCATTGGAGATGGCAGTAGATGTGAACTGCATCGAAAGAATCAATCAGTGCTACTGCCACGTGAAACCCCAAAAAGCGAATTTAGTGTGTTCCAGGGAATTTCGCCTAGTTTTGAGCGGATAGTGGGGGCTTCAGGTCGCGAGCCTCGCTGACATGTCCCTAGTGCTTCGTGGGGAACGAGGTAATGAAGGGTTGCACATAGCAACTACTGAGTACCGCGTTAAATGTGGTATAATGTGCAAAATTCGTCTTGACGAACTTGATAGAGTAAATGACTCCTTACCCCACAATGTGTGGGAGGCCTAGGTGAACCCTAAATCCTCCCTTGCATCTCCGAGTCCCTAAAAACCACGAACCATAAGTCCTACACCCTTTAAGCTCCCACCGTTAAGCTCTTCAACCTTTGACCCCTAAAAAATCCTAAGCCCTAAACACTGAACCCTAAATCGTATGAGCTTTGATACAGGCAGTTACCTGCAATGACGTGCAACCAGAAGCTTTCTTTCATGCCGCCACCCATGACTCGCTTGATCGCATCCTGCGTATTTCGAGGATAGGGATCCCTCGGGTTTAGGGTGTAGGGTTTAGGGATTTAGGGTTTAGGGATTTAGGGTTTAGGGTTTAGGGATATAGGGTTTAGGGTTTAGGGATCCCTTGAAAGGGGGTATAGTGGTTATAGGGACACAAAAGGGTTTGGGCTTCAGGGAGTAGGGATGTGGGTCTGGCGTAGAGGCCAAGGACTAGGGTTTTGAGGGTAGGGGGTCTAAAGTACATCATTTATCATCTATTCCCCATAGCCGAAATTACGAGTACTCTACGGATCCTGAAGTTTGTGGGCGTTCTATACCGGATGCTTCGTTTGAGAAATCTTTCGGCATGATTGTGATTTATGAGATTTGGAACCCTAAGCCCTAATCCTTAAACCTTAAACCCTATACGCGCTAAACCCTAAACCTAGAGCCCTGAACACTAAACCGCGTGGTGCCTGATTTCATCCATCCGCAGTGGTCCACTTGGGGTAAGGTTGGAGTTAGGGTGTAGGGTTTAGGGCTGAAGGTTCAAGGTTTAGGGTTTCAGGTTCCAGCATGGATTACATTGAAAGGTGCTTTTGGATC